AATACAACCTTCACAGAACCTATCAGAGTATCTTGTCAATTTACACTTGTTACATTTTTTCGGTTTTCCCCTTTTATATGTTGCATTCTGTAATTCAAACTCATAAATAAACTTTTCTCTACAATATTCTTTTTCAATTTCAGAAAGCTCCTTGTTTTTCTTGACCAATGAAAGAAAATAATCTTTTTCATTTTCTCTATCAGAATTAGCATTAGCATTATTAAGCATTTCATTGCAAATTCTAAATACAAATTCCTCTCTTTCTGGTGATAACAATTTAGTATATGACATTATATAAAAATATAAAACTTTGGCTTGTTGTTTGTTTTAATGAAGAAAACGTGGGATTTTTTTGAGTATAACGGTCATATTATTTCATTTTTCTTTGCGGAGAATTGAGCGTGTGACAAACACAAACAATCTTCCTTATTTGTGAGAATGCATTATTATTATTGAATGAAATGATTTGATTATGGAAGGGGGACATTTCCTGCCTAAATACGCCGGTCTCTAAAGCATGCGTCCTTTTCACACTAATAAAATTAATATAAATCTTGAATAAAATTTATAAAAATTGCATTATTTAAAGAACAACTTTCATCAACAAAATTCATCGTGATTCTAATACTTCAACAATAGCATTCTTATCACTTTTAAAACTTGAAACTTAAAGCTTACAAACACTTGCACCTAAACCTGTCTCATGTAATCGTTCTACGTACCAATATTGAGCCTGTGTGTTTCAAACTCAGACACTCAAACACATTATTAATATTATTGTGTATTTACTATTACTGTAGTTAACTTCAAAGTCAAATTCGAAAAACACAACTTGTATGCATTTAAAATTGCTCTATATGCCAATATTGACCTGCTCATGTATGTTTTGAACTCAGGCACTAAAGAACAATTTGATTTTTTCATTTAATAAAAAAAATAATTTCAATTTGTAAAAAAGAAGAGCATTTTTATTTTGAAAGAGAATATACAATAATAATTAGTTTCGCACAATTAAGTAAAATTCCTAATTCAAATTATAATTTCAATGATAATTATTCTTCTTGTATCATTGCAATATATATGCAATGATAATAATTCTTTATTCATCTCTGGAACACACATATTTACAGTGATTTTTTATAATTTGGAACTTTCGATAATTCTATTTTATCATCATCGTTATTGTTATCACCAATAGGAATTTCAAATTGGATGATGATGAACAAAGAGACGGCTACTATTATTACTGTTCACTTTTATTTTCTTGACATTTTTATCTAAATTTACTAGGTTCATGTCTTTCGAGACAATCATTTCTGTAAGAGACTGTTTAGTTTTGCTGCTAGCTTAATTTACACAACCGATAGTTTACGCTTCTATATAAAATTGGCATTATTTTATTTTGACTAAAATATTTGAAATGCATATTTAAATAGGGATAGAGTCTATATCAAAAGATACAAAAAAATAATTTGCAATCAAATGAACACCAACATCTTTGTCATTAAAGTGCTTGTTATATTATAGTGAGTGGCCTTATACTTTTGCAATCATACACTTCTGTCTAAATCATTGACAACGTTGCCGATTGCATTGTAACGAATATTGAGAAAATCATTTTCTGTAACTTGGAGGTGAATTCAGCTGAACATAATAAGAATTGATGGTGGTGGATCACATTTCTGAGAGGAATGTGTATATTGATATTGTTACAATTATTAGTTGAGGAAAGATACAGTAATTGTAAACGTTTAGTGTTTCCTGCCCTTTCAAGAAAAATTGGGGAGAGAAAATATATTGTACAAAATCTATCTTCTCTTTTTAAATTTTATGAAATTACGTTTGGAAATATAACCATCAACTGGATTGAATCTCATTTCCTATCAGCAAAATTAACAAAATCATCTACTAGTTCTGGAATTGTCAAGTTGGATGTGAAGGGTAAACAACAAACGTTTTTAATTATCTTATTTTATATTATTTAACAATGATCATTTAAATACTGAAGGGATCTGACCATTTGATGATAAAGAAATTTGGCATATGGAAGTTGCTGGTTCATAGGGTTTATATTCACGGATACTGTAAGGAAGTCACACAGGGCCACACACTATTAAAATCAAGTGTTTTAAAGGGATTTTTTGCTGATTTATTAGTGTGTAACCCCCTTAGTGGTATTCATGGTATCCGTGAATACAAACCCTACTGGTTCACCATCATCACCAAAAACAGATCATACAGTTGGTGATACAAAGAAGTCATTACATAGTGATATCTTAAACCTCATTTCGCCCTTGCTTAACCACTTGGATGTCCTTGTTAAGACTGCAACAAACATAAAAGCTTTCAGTTTGCAAGTCATTGGTAGGTGTCTTTATTGTTTAAAATTAAGAATTTCAAGTCATTGATTAGTATTATGCTTGATCATTAGGTTATCGAATTAAACTGTATTCTCTTAACATTATGGATGATGGTTCCTTTTTAGCATCTGAATTAGCCTCTGCCATAATTCCTTTTTCATTTGAAGGTAGATCAAAACACAAAGCAGTTCTTTATCTCATGATCATTTTTCATGTAAGTAATTATGTATATATATAGATGTTTTTCTTATTATTTTCCATATCACTTAACAAAATTTTTTTCAGGACAAATTTATAAAACAACTTTTAATTATGCAAGAACTTGATTTTAACATTAACCATAATGAGGAGCTACAATTTGGGATATTTTAAAAATTCCTAAATCTTTACAGGATCTTTTACAGCAAGGCTATATTCAAAATCACAATTAATGATAATCTATTTAGTTTAGTTCTAATTGTTTTTTAAGTTTCATTTACTATGTTAACTGAAGCTACTATATGATCGGAAACATTTCTTTTTTTATTAAAGCATTGTATTAAATGGCAAATTATATAATATATTCAATAAGATCCAATTCTCAAAGATAACTATATATGGGTATTCCATAAAATATTTCAGTTTTCTTTGCACAGTTCTTTCTTGAGTTGATCTTGTACTTGTTGGATAAAATTATTGGGATCTTAGATATGAAAGAATTCATGATGTTATATTCCTTGATAAAGCCAAATCACATACGCATTACAATTGTAATGCCAAGAAAAATGTTAAGGGTAGGGGGAATCACATGTCAATTTATATGTAGATCAGTAGCTCAAAAATTTGAATTATAGAAGTTGCATAATAAAAGTTATGCAAAACATGTCCAAATTGGTTCAAAATTTTTCCATATGTAGATTATAAACCCCTTTAATTTCTTGTAAAATTTCAAACAAAATAATTTAGTAAGAACTTTTAATTTCTTCAAAAAACCATACTAAT